TTTACCAATGCTAAGGAACTTTGGGATGAGGTTCAACTTAGGTATGATAAAAGTGATGGTCCTAGACTTTTTCAACTTGAAAAAACCCTAGGAAATCTTTCTCAAGGTTCTCGTAGTATCACTGATTACTACAATTCCTTTAAAGAAATTTGGGATGAATACTGTAGTTTCAGAATCATTCCTTCTTGTACTTGTGGCCATAACACTTGCAATATATCTGAAACCTACCAAAAGATAATCAAAAAAGAGTCTATTCTGAAGTTTCTTGTTGGCCTCAATGAATCTTATTCTAATCTGCGAAATCAAATTCTTCTTAATACTGACAAAACCACTCTATCTAGTATTTACTCTATTCTTCTTCAAGAAGAATCTCAAAGATCTCTTCAGAATTCTATTTCTTTCACCACTTCCTTTTCAGAATCTTCTGCATCTGAAAAACTTAATAATGATGCTACTGCTTTCATTGTTAAGAATTTTAAAAAGAAAAGTTCTATTATCTACAATCACTTTGGCTATCAAGGTCACTCATCTGAAAAATGTTTCCAACTCATTGATTATCCTAATAGCTGGAAAGGACCAAAAGGTCAAAGACTTGCCCCTGGTTTTAAACCAAATCTTAATTCAAACAAAAATCATCATGCTAATCTGGCTGCCAACTCTACTGAACCTGATTTAACTCCTACACATTACACTGAATCTGCTCCACCTTCTACCAACACCAATTCTGCTACCACTGAATTCTGTGATCCCAACTTGTATGAAAAGTTTCTGCAATTCATTCAAGCTCAACAGCCTAAAACTGCTTCTGTCAATGCTGTCACCATTGCTTCTGAAGATGGTCTTAATGCTTCTCACAATGCTTCACAATTTTTAGGTAAACACTTTGCTTTATCATCTTTTACATCTTCTAAATGGATTCTTGACACGGGAGCATCTGATCATATGGTTTATGATGCTTCACTTTATACAACTCCAACTAAAGAGATTTCAATTAATATTCAACTTCCTACTGGTAATTATATTTCTGCCACTAAAATTGGTGATATAAAATTAAACTCTAACCTTACTTTACATAATGTTTTATATGTTCCTAACTTTACTTTCAACCTTATTTCTATTTCTAGTTTAACTTCTAATGATAATATCTCAGTCTATTTTTCATCTAACCGTGCTATATTGCAGGACCACCTTACCAACAAAATGATTGGCTTTGTTGATCTAAGGAATGGCCTCTATTACTATAATCCAGACTCCTCTTTAGATCATATTCCTACTGTTTACTCTGCCAGTAGTCAACATACTATTTCTTCTGCTACTCTTTGGCCTTTTAGACTAGGACATTTGCCTTTTAATAAACTTTTCATGCTTCCTGATTGTAATGTTTCCAATAATGAAAACCATTGTTCTCCTTGTGATATTTGTCATTTTGCTAAACAAAAGAAACTTCTTTTTCCTATTAGTACTGCTCATGCTTCTAATCCTTTTGATTTAATTCATATGGATGTTTGGGGTCCTTACAAAGTTACTTCTTACACTGGTTTTAAATATTTTTTAACTATACTTGATGATTACACTAGATGTACTTGGGTTTTTCTATTAAAAACTAAATCTGAGGTAAAATTTCATATGCTAAATTTCTATACTTTCATTGAAACTCAATTTCACAAGAAAATTAAAGTTATAAGAACAGATAATGGAACTGAATTTCTCTTTCCTGATTTTTATAATTCAAAAGGAATTCTTCATCAATTATCATGTGTTGAAACACCTCAACAAAATGGTAGGGTTGAAAGAAAACATCAACATATTTTACAAATTGCTAGAGCTCTTTTATTTCAATCCTGTTTACCTCTTACTTTTTGGTCTGATTGTATTCTTACTACTCTCCATATAATAAATAGATTGCCAACTAATATTATGAATAATAAGTCTCCTTTTGAAATGCTTTATAATCATGTCCCAGATTATACTCATTTAAAGGTCTTTGGTTGTTTAGCTTTTGCTTCAACTATTTCTTCAAATAGGTCTAAATTTGATTCTAGAGCACATAAATGCAATTTTATTGGCTATCCTTTAGGCTCTAAAGGATACAAATTATATGATTTAACCAATCATAAAACTTTTGTTTCTAGAAATGTTAAGTTTTATGAAATGTCTTTTCCATATAAAACTATACATACTGACAATATTTTTGATTCATATTCTATTGAAACAGAAAATAATCATATTATTAATGATTACTTAAACACTATTTCTAATCCTACTCCTCAAATTTTTAATGAAAATAATAATACACATAGTTCTTCCACTCTCACAAATTATTTGGACAATCAAATAAATGAAGAATTGAATTTGTTTTAGTTTGATAGAATTAATTCTAATGCTAATGATTCTTCTAGTCTGTTGCATACAGATACTTTTCATAATCATGAAAATGTTCCTGAAGGAAGTACTCAAAGAAAATCTACTAGAGTAAGATCTATCCCTGTTCATTTAAGAAACTTTGATTACAAATTACCCAATTCTCTTCTTCCAAATAATTCTGAATCTTCTTGTAATATAGTTAGATACCCTATTCAGAATTACATCTCTTATAACAATTTACATTCTTCTCATCACTGTTTTATTGCTTCTCTTTCTAAAACTTCTGAACCAAAAACTTACAAACAAACTGTTAAATTTCCAGAATGAAAAAATGCTATGAATGATGAAATTAAAGCTCTTGAACATAATAATACTTGGACTCTTGTTGATCTTCCTTCTAATCAACATACTATTGGTTGCAAATGGGTTTTTAAAACAAAATTAAAAGCTGATGGATCTCTTGATAAATATAAAGCTAGACTTGTTGCTAAAGGTTATACTCAAGAAGAAGGCCTTTATTACTTTGATACTTTCTCACCTGTTGTAAAGTTAACAACTGTTAGAATTCTTCTAGCCATTGCAAGTTCTAAAAACTGGTACTTACATCAATTAGATGTAAATAATGCTTTTTTACATGGTGACCTAAATGAAAATATTTATATGGAACCTCCTCCTGGTTATTTGCCTAATACTGATACTAGAGTTTGTAAATTACTTAAAAGCATATATGGTTTAAAACAAGCCTCTAGACAGTGGTGTTTTAAACTTTCTGAAACTTTAAAACTTTTTGGTTATAAACAGTCTGAAGCAGACTTTTCTCTTTTTACTATTGTGACTAATACCTCTTTTACTATCATATTACTTTATGTTGATGATCTAATTCTTGCAGGAAATGATATGAATGAAATTAATGCTGTTAAATCCTTCTTACATAACAAATTTACTATTAAAGATCTTGGTAAATTAAAATACATTTTGGGAATAGAAATTGCTAGATCAAAAACTGGTATTGTTCTAAACCAAAGAAAATATACTCTTGATATACTCTCTGATTTTGGTTATCTTTCTTCAAAACCCTTTTCCACACCTATGGATTCTAAACTTAAACTTTCAAAACAAAATGGTACTGTTTTAAATGATCCTAAAACTTATAGAACTCTAATTGGCAGATTGTTATACCTTACTGTCACTAGGCCTGCTATAGCTTATTCTGTTCAAACTCTCAGTCAATTTTTATGTTCTCCTACTAATATTCATATGGCTGCAGCTCAAAGAGTACTTAGGTATCTTAAAAGCTCTTCGGGTAAAGACATCTTTTATCCTTCTAATTCTTGTTTTAATATTCAAGCGTATACAGATTCTGATTGGGGATCCTGTGTTGATACTAGGAGAAATATTTCTGGGTATTGTTTTTATCTTGGGGATTCCTTAATTTCTTGGAAATCCAAGAAACAATCTGTCATCAGTAGATCTTCTACTGAAGCAGAATACAGGGCAGCTGCAAATGCAGTTTGTGAAGCCCAATGGATTGTTTATATTCTTCATGATTTACAAATTAATTTTTTTTACCCATAACATTATACACTGATAACAAATCTATTTATCATTTAGCATACAATCCTATTCAGCATCAAAGAACTAAACATATAGAACTAGATTGTCATTTAATTAGGGAAAAGATCAATTCTGGTCTTATAAAACTTGTCCATATTTCTAATACTTATCAACTTACAGATATTTACACAAAATCACTTGGAAATCCTCTCTTCAAGCAGTTTGCAGACAAGATGAACATGCAAGACATCCATGATCATCTTGAGGGGGTGCCTTAAGAATAAAGATATGAATTATTTATATTTTGGGCCTAATGGACTGTTTATTTACTTTCAGGCCTGTTAGCCCTTTTGTATAAATACTCTCCATTACATTATGTAAACATTAAGGGTTTTACATCTTCTCAGCTCTCATCGATTTCTTCCGCATTCTCTCTGAAATACTCTCCACTTGCAATTCGTATAAGATTTCACAGGCAAGGGTAGGATGATGCTGCTTGTTTCAGAGAGTAGTGTTGTGACCCCAAACACAAAGAACATGAGAAGCATGCCAGCATGCTCAAAGTTATTCCTATGGGAGGGATTCAAAACTCCATTAACGAAGAGCTTGAGGTGGGTTGAATAAAACAATTCTATGCAAAAATCGATTAAACCTCCAATTGCTATGACATAAAGCTCCAAGTACTTCAGCTTCCCGTTGATACCCATAACAGGATTCCAAGCCCTTACTCGGAAAGATTTGGGGTTGGAGACATATCTCACTATTGCACACCACACATGCCATACCCCAACCACAAGAAACAGTGTTCCTGGTAATACATGCCCAGGGAAAGATCCCATTTATATTTAAATACAAACACAGAATTGTCTTTCTGAATCAAGGCCTATTACAATAAGAGCTCACTGATATTGTAGAAGGAGCAACTGTAAGGCTACCTGATTCAAGGGGAAGAGCCTTTTATACTGTTCGGATCCTTCCAGCAGCGTCCAGAAGAGATCAGATGCAGCCAGCAACCAGAAGGCTTACCCGATGGCGACGGAAATTCCATAGACACGGCGGGGCGGGGATTTCAACAGACGGGCATGCGACTCGACGGGATCCAGATGGAACTGAAATCCATCTAACTAGGGATGGACTCGGTTCGGGCCGGACCCGGTTCAGGCCTTGAACCGGTCAGGCCTCGATTCAAGGTATGGGAGGTCCGGAACCAGCCCGGGTAACCCCGGGTCCGGGCCGGGCCAGACCTCGGTTCTATTTTTTTTTTTGGCTTTTCCTAGTTAACCCCCAACCCTCCCCCTCACCCCAAACCAACCCTAACCACCTCAAATGGCCCAAAATACTCAGTCCAACCCAAAAACTTAAAAAAACTTCAAAAAAAAAAAAAAAAAAATGACCCGGGCCGGGTGGCCCGAACCGACCAACCAACCGGCTCACCGGTCCGGTCCGGGCCCGCACAGTAGCAGGCCGGTCTGGTTCTGGGCCGGTTGGCCCGGCCCGAGTCCACCCCTAGATCTAACTGCCCACGATGTCAACAGGACTTAAACCGATCGAGGCTGGACGTCAACACCGGGACGACTGGATCTTCGGTGCTGGACTTCTCACAAACAGAACATAATTATATCCCATCAACGGGCTGGGCTGGGCCACACCGGCCTAAAACTAATAGTTTCGGACTAAGCTCAATTTATAAAAGCGAAAGAGTCAAGCTGAGCCCTTGTAATAAAATGTGGTAATTACATGTTTAAGCTACTTTTTAGTGTCGCATTTCGTTTATAGCTCTCGTCACATTTTTTTCATATCTAGAATTTCAGTTTTTCAATTTCATTCTTTTTATTTCAAAATAGTTATCTCCTTAAACTAAAACCTAGCCCCTACATCGAGTCATTTAGATCGAAGTTTCTTGACGATCGATGTCTGGGGATGATAATTCAAACTTCACACTATCAAGGTTCAATCCGGAGATGGAGGGGTATTCCTCTCCCAGCAACTCATCTCATATCATCTCCTTCGCAGACACATAACAGTGCCCGTCCCCGTCAAGATCTCAATTAGAAAGTCCGTCAAGAATATGTTGGTAAACAAGGTTGTTAAAATCATTTTTTTGAATCGAACGGGTAGATGTTTTTGAAAATAGAATCGTAAAATCGAATCGCAAATCGTAAGATTTTATCAAACATATCATAATAATTATGAAATAAATAAATATATATTAATATTAAGTTGTAAGTTAATGATATTATATCATTTCATTACATAAAACTATACCTACAAGGTCCAAAACAACACTTATAAACTATTTTTAATAACGTAAATGTAGTGAATAATAACATTAAACATATGTTAAACATAAAAATAATTAAATAATACAAGAATCCATTACTTTTTAAATATACTATTGATATTATTATTATTATTATTACTGTTATTATTATTATTATTATTATTATTATTATTGTTATTGTAATTATGTATCAATTTGTAGTAGTTAATTTTAATAAACTTGAACCATTTTCACCAAAAAAAAATTATTATGATTTTAAACGACTCTACACGATTTTTGTACAATTTTTTACGATTTTGTACGATTTTATGATTTTATGATATTACCTGCGATTTGAATCGATTTATTAATGTTGAATCGTAAACTCGTACCATTTTACGATTTAAATCGAGATTTTAACAACCTTGTTGGTAAATCTAGCCAAGTCTCAACGAGTTGCTGAGTAATTCTCTGGCCGGTGCTTTGGTCAGCCTCAACTCCACGCTTCCTCGAATTACATGCAGCCTCAACTCAGATGGATGTTCACAATGCATTCTTACATGGTGACCTAGAAGAAGAGGTATACATGCAGGTGCCCCAGTAAGGTTATACCACATCTGACTCATCTTTGGTTTGTCGTTTGCATAAGTCTTTGTATGGATTGAAGCAAGCACCGCGTTATTGGTTTGCTAGATTGGTTCACGCTCTTTGCGAGTATGGATTTTCCTAGTCCTATGCTGACTACTCTTTGTTTACTCGCACTTGGGGGCCGAACAGTTGAATGTCCTACTGTATGTGGATGACATAATTATCTCCGGCAATGACCATGATGCAATTCTTCATTTTAAAGCCTGTCTTAGTGATTGCTTTCACATTTAGGATTTGGGTACTCTTTGGTATTTTCTTGGTATTGAGGTGGCTCGAAGTTCCGCGAGTATTTTTCTCAGACAACGGAAGTATACGATGGACATCTGATCTAAAATAGGGCTCCTTGGAGCAAAACCTACAGTTTTCCCCATTGAACAAGATCACTCATTGACCTTAGCATCTGACCATCCTCTTGTGGATCCGGAACCTTATTGGCATCTGCTTGGCCATCTTATTTATCTCTCTGTGACCCGACCTGATCTTGCTTATTCTGTTCATTTTTTCTCTCAGTTTTTGCAGGCTCCGTGTCAATCTCATTGGGATGCAGCATTGCGGGTGGTCCGCTATTTAAAAAGCTCTCCAGGACAAGGTATTCTTATGCATGCTAATAGTGATCTTTCCCTCACTGGTTGGTGTGGCTCTGATTAGATTGGCTGTCCAATTACTAGACGGTCTTTATCTGGTTGGCTAGTCTTTCTTGGTCACTCGTCTGTCTCCTGGAAAACTAAAAAGCAATCAATTATGTCTCGTTCTTCGCCAGAAGCTGAGTATCATGCTATGGCTGCTGCGACATGGGACCTCAAATGGCTCAAGGCTTTACTACTAAGTCTCGGTGTTCATCACCGCAAAGTCATTCCTCTTTTTTTGTGATAGTCAGTCTGCTTTGCATATTGTTAGGAACCCGGTTTTTCATGAACGCACGTAACATATTGAAGTGGACTGTCATTTTGTTCGTAATGTTATCAAGGATGGACTTATCTCTCCCAGTTATGTTCCTATGACTGTGCAGGTCTCGGATATTTTGACTAAAGCTCTTGGGAAGACACAATTTCATTATCTCTTATGCAAGTTGGGCATTTTAAACCTCATGCTCCAACTTGAGGAGCAGGGGATATGGGATCAATTCTATTTTTGGATGGGAAATATTCTAGCCTTAACGGCAGTAGCTTTATTAGTATATATGTATGCACCAGCGAACATATGTAATACAAGACTCATATTATTATTCTTTCCCAAATCAGTTTATTGGCAGAAGCTGTGGCGGCGGGAGGTGGTGAATGGGATGTTATGGGCGTCGGGCGGTGCAGCTGTGCTGGTGCGAAAATTGAAACATTTTTGGGCTACCACCGACGACGATTCATATGCTTTTCTGGAAAGAATGAAAGAAACAAATAAAGAAATGAATTGGAAAGAGCATATACCGGTAGGAGGAGACCATCGAAGAAGAAGCCAACCGGAAAAGAAGAAAGGATAAAAGAAAGAAGGAAATGCTCAACAACATAGAGAATCGTCATTTAAATCGTCAGTGGTACAAAATAGAGAATCGTCATTTAAATCGTTCGAATTACTAGTTCCAAATTACTAAAAGGAGATAATCTGTTGATCATGTATTAAAAATATGATTATTCATTTGAACAAAGAAAATATGCTTATAAATGCTAATGGAAAACCATAGCCACATTTATATCTATACTACATAGGTTTTGGTTCAAATAAGAACACAATCTTACGAAAGAAATGAGAATGAATCTGGACCGTTAGATTTGCTTTAAATAAATTCAATGTGCATTAGATGAAATTATAATGTGTATTTGGTAGAATTGAAATGTGCAACACAAAAGGTACGATACACTGACATTATGTCAAGCTTAATTGTACATTACGTGAAATTGAAATGTGCACTATGTGAAACTGAAATGTGCACAATAAAAAGTACAATGTGCTGTTAAGTGAGTCATTTTGCTTTATTCCATCATAATCTCAAGCCAAAAAATAATGAATCTTTGGCTCCATTACAAATGATGGAAAAGAAGAAATTTCACCTTAAGCAAACTAAATACTACGTACTTACTAATAATAATTGTTGTAAATTGTAGCAGCTTAGATGTTATTTTTCATGTTTACGACAATAATATCAATCCTTTGTTATTTTCTTTGTATAACTTTAAAAATAATCTTTCTCAACATTTTTAAAAATTATTACTACTTTCGTTCTTAAAGATGGCAAAAAGGGAAAAAATAAAAATATATCATTTTACAATTGCACTCTTATATATCAAAAATTATACTCCATATATATATATATATATATATGTATATATATATATATATATATATATATATATATATATGTATGTATATATATATATATGTATGTATATATATATATATGTATATATATATATATGTATATATATATATATATATTGAATAAAGTAAAAATTAAGTTCAATAATATATTTTGGACATTTATCTTTTTCTTCATATCTTATAATAATATATGGAGTACTAATTATCAATAGAAATCTAAAACGCCTTTTCACGCCTAGGCTTCGCCTATTCCCGCCTAGGCTTCAAAAGCTTAAAACTTCACTTCGACGCCTTGCAAAGCCTCACACCTTTTAGAACACTGGTAATAGTACAATAATAACCATCCGAAAAGAGATAATGGTATTAAAGGCAACGAATTCGTGTAATGGGAGAAACAGTCTAGATGGAAGGAACATGTGAAGTAGGTCCGACTAGATTCATCCTTTAAAGTCAATATCAACAAAGCTGATTGTAATCAAATCCGAATTTACCTGTCTAAGTATTTTGGAGGATAGTTCATTATGGAAGGGTAAGCAATGACCACCTATCTTTAAAAAAACTGAACACCTGAATTAAAAAAAAAAATACACCTGATTTGTTTTATTATGTGAATTCTCTAATTTGATTGAGACAGAGTACACCATTCCGTACTAACTATATTTGATCAGATTTCAATTCCTTGTGTGTTTCTTACTTTCTTTCCTTTGTGGCATGGTGAAAACAGTGCGGTGGTAATGAACTCAGTGAGAATATGAGCACGTTTGGTAGCATCCAAATTAGCTGAATCGGCTTATTCTACTGAAATTTATGAAGTTCTGGCTGAAATGGCTACATTGGCTGATTCTGCTAATTTATGAAACAAAAATTATTTAAAATATTTTTTATTAATAAAATAAAGGAAAAATTATATGAAAAATAGCCAAAATGATCATCTATAGTAACTTCAGCCAATGTAGCCAGAAAAGTAAATTCAATCTTACCTTTTCTTATTATTACACAACTCAACTCGAAAAATCAAAAGTTACGTGTTTGGTGAAATAGTTGACGGATCAGCCTGATAAGTCAAAAAACAATGCCACCAAACGAACTCTATACCTTAATAAGCCACAAACACATGATGAAGGACAATTTACATTTTCGATTTTACTGGCGAAGGTCTGATCTAACCATCAAATTAATGCATCATTAATTATAATAAAATACTTAATTGATTATTTGACCAAATCAATCTATCGCAATTCGTCAAACCTGCAAATAAAATCATATGAAATCAGCCCCACCAAACATGGAATAGAATAATACTGTACAGAATTTGTGAAGGTCCACATATTCTGGATGGCTCCATTTTTCTACAAATGTAACTGCACAAAATATTATTAAATCCGTGATTTATTAAGACATGCCTCCAACCCACCACCGGTCCGCCATCTTTATAACCTCGTGTGCCTAATTCAACACTAACTATTACTTGATTGGATGTTGATTATTAGATCCACATTTCTTAGTACTTTCTTAATAAACAATTAACAATTTTAAGAAAAATGTGGACTCCGATAGGTTTTAGACTCCGAGTACAGTTTCATGACAATTGGCATCAGAAAAGGTGTTTTCTTTTCTCAAGCTTCAATTAATTGACGATTTTTAAACAGATAATCAAGAAAACATTATAAATTTAATTGCAAATCAACTGTAATAAAGGAAAAGGGAACAAAAAGCTTGTTGCCCTAATAGTATATACTTAGACAGTAGTTGGATTCCTAAAGTTTATTTTTGAGCAAAAGTTACAACATAAGAAACATCATAGGAAAAGGCTCTTCGATCACTTCACTATGCTAAGAAATAAGAATAGAGCTAGGGAGTATTTCGTAGTTAGGTTATGTCATTTCTGATTTTCATCATTTCAAGATTTTGTTGGACTTAAATTCCAAAGATAAAACCAAGCAAAAGCTTCATCTTTTTTGGATTTCACGGCCTAACTTTTATCGGTTTATTTCAGGATGTTTTCTTTTCGACTGAAATTTGTTGGTCTAGTCTCATCTAGTCTAAACTGATATTGTTTGGTCTGAACTGATCTGATCTAATATGATTCTTCTGGTCTCTATGTATCTTATAACTATGAAAGTCTGGTCTGATCTGGTCTGGTCTCATCTGGATTGAGACAAAAAACAGTATAAAAGAAAACATATTTAGTTTAATCTGTAGTCAATTTTAAATTTTAAAGCATTTATCTTGAAATACTCGGTATAAGAGTGGTTATTGACTTTTGTTTTCCGCTTATCAATTGGCCTTTTCACTAAATATGTAAGTTTTGGTTTGATATGTAAATTATGTAATACTCAAAATAAAATAACTGAAGGTTCAAATTATTAATTGAATGAACTTACTCTAAAAGATCATTTTAGTTATTTCTTATATACTTTTTCTTTATTTTATTAAATTAAATGAGATATATGTTCAAATATAACCTTTTTCATAATTCAACGGATTCAACTAATTCAACTATTGAGAAAAAGTAATTGCCCAAAATAGGACTAAAACATGATAAAAATTCCAAAATAAGACTTCATGTTACGTTTTATATTCCCTAAATAGGAGTCCACGTTATCATTTTGCCCTTGAAATAATTAAACCTCACATCCTGATTATCGATCCAGTCCTCATCAGCAATTACATTGCCGCACATCTGGTCCCGTAGAGTTGGTCTTGACTTGCCTGGAGACATGGGACTGAATCTACCACACATTGGTATTAGGTGAATAAAGACACTACAAGAAACTTGATTTGTAATGAAAGGATATACCGGATTGAATCTACCACACCTTGGTATTAGGTGAACTAGTATAGCCCCCGTGCGATGCACGGTGTGTGAGTATTTTTTTAAAAAAAATTGAATGGTTGTTATAAGAAATCTAAGGTAATATGAGATTGTTAAATAACTTCAAAGTGTGAAATAAACATAATAGTTCGACAGTACAACGCGGGTTAATGTTGTGACAAAAATGGCATAATGACTACTAAATGTTGTTTAATATAATCAAGATTGTATGTTTCTTCTAAAAAAAGATTGTATGTTACAAAACACCGGATATACCGCATTGGTGGTCTCTTCCAGAGGTCTTTCATCTTCGGCTTAAATAAGTATTTCAATATGAAAACGATTTGTAGACCTTGAGATAATGATGAATAATTGTCCATGGTTGATAGCATTTTTTAATATTTTATATTGTTGCATTTAAAATCTAAGAAGGAACTCTAACGTTGATAATTAAAGAGATCTTTGGCATTAAAACTTTTTACCTACACTCTTGCAAATTAGAATTTCGTCATGTCACTCATCTATTAACATTTTTCACATATCTAATCATTTAAGCTTTGGCAAAAGGTGTACCATTCTTTATGGGGGAAAGGTCAATAATGATCTCCTAGTATAGCACCTGTGTAATACATGGTGGGTGATTTTATTTCTAAAATGCATGTCAATGTGAAAATGGAACGTAATATGACTATAAAAAGTAAATAGCTCATCGATCTACCAAAGATGTCTATCGTCAGGTTATCACATGTATTGGTTCAAATATGTTTTTGTTCATGCATGATGAGTTCGAACACTATTTTTATAAAATAAGTTTTATAATTTTTAGAATACACGAAAATGTACATCATGTTTCTTAGATTTGTTATAATAGGTTAATCCAGAGCGTTTGGGGACATGTGATTCACTAACTGCTACTCCGTATTTAAAAAATGCATTTTGGGGCATGAAATTCACTAACTACTATTTAAAAAATAAAATAAAATGGAATAAAAATTGAGAAGTAGTCTCAGAGGAAGGCTTTCATCTGATTTTTTATTTGCGTTTTTCTTAAATGTATGGACATGTTTTCAAAATTGGTGAATACATGCTTGATTCATGACACACACAGTTGACAAATGTGATTTTTGTTCAAACCCGAAAATCACCTATTTAGGAGTGGTAAGTGTCGGGGAACACTTATCTAATTTAGAGCCCATTTGGTGACCTTGTTTTTCGCCTTATCAAGCTTATCAGACAACTTTTTCACCAAACACGTAAATCTTGATCTTCGCGTTAATCGTGTAATAATAAGAAAACATAAGGTTGAAGTTACATTTCTGGCTTTATTTGTTGAAGTTACTGTAGAGAATCATTTTAGTTATTTTTCATATAAATTTTTATTTGTTTAACCATCAAAATACTTTTTGTTCAGCTTTGTACGTATCGTGGTCACACTAATACATAGTACTTATCTCTGAAAATTTGGCTATTAGAATTCTAATATATCAAAACAACTTTAATTAGATATACTAAAAAGTGAATTTTTATACATGCTATTATATGTCTTAACTATTTTCAACGCACTAATTTTGTATTAATTAACTTGATAATAATCAATACCTATATTTTAGTAATATTTTAAAAATTCATGGTTTCATATTTTTATTTGGCATT